TTGGTTTATGTCTATAAATATTAGTTTATGTCTGCAAATATTAGTTCGTTTTTTTTATTATGTTACAACGACTGTGTCCAAGCGGATGCAGTTTTTAGCTGGAGGCCGAATGCGGACTGAGCAGCCAATGCATCAAGTCAATTCCAGTTGCAACCATCCACCCACCCCCCACCCCCCCGCCCGGACAATGTGCTACTAGTAGTTTAATTTTTACAGCAGCATGAATAGAATGACAATGTACACTATTAGTATTAATTTTTGAGTCTGAAATCATTAATCAAATGATGTTTAATACTTATGTTATACATATGTTATATATATACTTCATCACTTTATCATAATCAATTCACTGTCAAAAAATATAGTCACTTGAAAAACATTTACCAAAGTAGCTCTGAATCTGACTCATTCTCTGGCTCACTGTCAAATAGAGGTGAGCCGATGTCTAAAAAAAGCCGATTACCGATACCGATTGTTAACAGCCGATATTTACCCACCATCGGCCGATTAATCGGCAAACCGATGGTCATCTTAATTTTTTTTTACTAATGTATCCTCTCGTCAAAAGACTCAAAACATGCAGAAACAGGAAGCGACATTTTTAACATTGATTCTGAAATCCACAGCGTGCTACTGACTGGTCAACGGAAGTTATGGAACACGATAATTAGTTGCTGGGGCACCTGTGCCAGCAACTATAGGTTTCGGGTGAATTTGGTCTCCTTCTCCATGGATAGTCGCAAAATGGAAATTCCCACTGATCTATATACGAAGCAATACGTGCATACATTTTCGCTATTTTGACAATCGTAAAGTCTTCGTAAGTGTATAAAGTGAACGTCAAATTGTTCTTTCAATCACGCTTTTTCTTCTGGGGGCTTTTTGAAAGAAATCCATCAAGAATATACAGAATTATGTTGACGTTTCACTATCGAGGAGTGGAGTAGATTCCGAGGTGGATTAACTGACAAAATAACTGTGTTATTTATTAGTCGAACCGTTATTTCTGAACGTTTATATTTTTGTTTTGTGAAGTTTTACATCTATATACGCTTTAATATGGCTTATAGTCCTGGTTGCTCCAATAGTCTGCATAAAAATCGTATTGGAACTGTCATATTTGCATGCTAGCTCTATTTTCAAGAAGGCTCAAATGTTGGCTGTTTTGAAGTGACACACGAGGTATGTGACACACAATCTTGGATTGGTATTTCTTAGATAGATAGATGTTTTTAATTGATAAACCTTGCAGCCATTGGCTGTATTATGTTAACATTACATAAGGTCCAATTATTATTCTGGTTATAGGACTGAACTATTAGCTTAAAAACTCACTTGTTCATGTTATAAACTGCATCATGTATTCATGATTTTTACTTGCAACTCATTTGCTTATTTAATAGATTGCAAACAGGGGTCCCCTTGTTAAAAATTTCATGTCAATTTGTGAAGATTAACCTCGCAATATTTTTGCAGATTGCAAAATTTATAATCTATCAGTAATCTGTACCTTACTATGATCTAACCATTTGATGATATTTATGTGGCTCTAACATGTAATAGCTTCAATATTTTGGAGTGTATTATTTGATGTTAATTAAGCCCTTTAGTTAAAAATCACCAATTGAAGAATTGCTAGAACCAAAAGTGAATACTGGAACTATCTATATTTACCATGTTGCACCCTCAATGCCTGGTTACCCCACGTCTTGTCACCCCCACCCCTCTTTGAGGGCCCTCTTTGTTAGCGATTCAGTTCTACACCACTGACTGCTAATATAAAGTTATGTAAAATTTTAATGCCATTAGCTCGGGGAATGCAGTGCTGTGGGAAGCTCTTTTTGGTTGGGGAACTGAAAGCAATGGCCAAAGGCCCGAGAAAATTTTTAAATTTAGAGTGTCTGAAATGCCATTTCCTGAACTTTGGGAAAGATTTGACAGAATTCTGATGCATGGTCAGAAAACAGCATTTTAGTATGTCGAAATTTACAATTTCAAACAGCCCGGGCCCCTGGTTGCTACGGCCCTGGGGTGAAATATAACCACTGTCTATCGCATGCATCAGTTAGGTGCAAAAAGCTAAATTCCGCACCAATAATCAATATATGCGATTGTCCATATCATATAACCCTTTAAGTGGCAATGTACCCTCATGTGACCTACTTTATTATTTTACTGTGTCTAATGCCAAGGATTTTACTCATCAGGGAGAGAGTGCTGTCACTCAATGAGTTAATTCACAAATGAGTCCTTAGTCCTTAACTGTCTGATAAACAATTTTTGTGTTTTAAAATTTGTTATAAACAAGTTAAAATAAAAATATACAAATCTGTATTTATCCTCAAATATGAATAAGGGTTATTATAGCCCAAGGCCCAAGTATGAACACTTGTGCCACAGTGCCAGCACAAAATGGGCTATTCCAGCTTTCAATTCTGCTGGAATGAGGTGATAAATTTTTAGCTTTGGAATTCCTCAGGGATAAGCAAATATTTTCTGTGTGGAATTCTTTGGGGGTAATCCGGTAATGGATATTTTGAATGAGATTTTCTCAGGGGTCAAATGTAAAAATTGAAATTCTTCCAGGGTCTCTCTTCATGGGTATTAACAGGAATTCTTCAGTGGATCTCTTTTATGACCTGTAGGAATTCTTCAGTTCAGCGATATGATGAACTCTTGTGCAACGGACCTGATTGTGAGATTCCACTTCATTGAAAGGACGACCTTAGGGACGGACCATTAGAAAACCGATGGGGGGGGGGGGGAACCCAAAAAAATTTATTCCCAGGAAAAAATTAGGGGAAAAAATCTTCTCAGGCATAGTGCAAAAAAAATTCCTTTCTTGGAAGATAGGCCTATAAATTTTAATAAAAATATATATTTCCAGCCATCAAGTGAGAAAAAAAATTTCTATAGGTGTACAAAAAAAAATATTGCCTCTTAGAAAATCCCCCCCCCATCACTTTTCTAATGGTCCGTCCCTTAGTTAATTAAATTTGCTGTATACATTATGTCGCAACGTGTCACTATTTAATAAACTTATGTACAATTACAAATCAAGCCCACAAATCGTTGAATATACTCTTACCGCTCGTTGCAAATCACGCAGGCGCCTATTTAAAAAGCCCCAGCAACTTAACGCTCGAGAGAGCGTCTTGTTTTATTTGCATTTCCTGGCATTCTGTGGACATTCAAAATGTTCCTGGAGGAGCGTCGCCCTTGAATCCCACTGCTCTAATAGCTTAGCCTGCATTCCACTGCCCTCTAATATATTTACCTGCTATTTGAGCGTACTGATGAATAAACTACACTATATAAAATTTGAAAATGCTTTCTAGATAACGTGGACCGTAATTTCTGTCAAATATGGACCCTAAATACCCCCCCCCCATCGAGATAGCCAGTCTTTGAATGGAGCTAGTAGTCTATGCTGGCGCAGCCATTAATCTCAGTTCCATTAGGCTCCAGCTCCATGGCTCCCTAACGTCTGCAGCTATGATTTTTAGTGAAGAAGAAACACTGGAATAACTGGAGAAAATCCCTCCAAGTATAGGAGAGTACCAAACAAAAATGAGATTGACGAATAGAGAATTGAGAATGAGGTTAAATACGACGAATTTTCAAGGCTGAAGTTTGCTTTATCTAGTTTTATCTGTCCTGTAAATTTAAGAACAATTCCAAATTTACCTGATCCCATGTGCCAAATGGGCCTACCCTAAATAGTGTTGTAAAGTATTTCGTATCCGTTAATATATATAGTGTCGCGTTAATTTTGTTGTCGTGTTGATAATTTCGTTGATAGAAATAACTGTAAATTTTTCTCATCTTTAAAGATCCAGTCAAGGAAAATACAAATAATTCTAGCGGAATCATTAATATTATCATAGCGACAACAGTGGCTGGCGTACTTCTTAGCATTATTATTATTGTCTTATTGATGAAATACATACGACTGAAGAGGGCTTCAAAGCTATCAACTCCTTTCGATATCTCATTGGAGGCAGTGGAAACTCCACAAAAGTCATTGCCAATTGATCAGGTAAATTATTTACGTATGGTTCGTACATATGACCTGAGAACAGGTTCGAACTGGTAGAGCTATCGAATACAAATAAACTTAGTTTAGCTTGTAAACTCTACTACGACAGTTTCTCCGTTCATTCGGTTTTTCTCTCCAAACACAAACTGACCCTTAGGCCTAAGTTTTTCAAGCACGCACATCATGGTCCTTTGGCTTGGGAGAATTGGGCAACCGTAACCTGTGTAATCAAATTTAAATAAATCGTTATCCTCATTATCAAAACAGGAGGAACCAGGTTACGAAACTGTCTCGAGAGTTGTTCGAGAATTTTACGATGACGTTGTCACCAATGCAAATAACTGTAAAGACGAAGGTCAGTAATATGTTTAAAATTCCACTATAGCTAACCTTGGTATGTGTAACGGTTTATCATTAATTCGAAAAACAAATGTAATTTATCTTGCATGGTTGAAAAGCAACCATCCCGATAATTTTTTCACTGTAGAACGAGGATGAGAGTTGATAAGAGGTAATGAGGGAAATTTCTCTCGCTCGTGTTTCACCACCAGCTCTCATGGACTGTCATCAAATTTGAGCTGATTCAGATTTTGATGAGAATTTTCGCCATGCCGCCCATGAGTGATAATACCCAGACGCCTGAGTGCAACATTCTTTTAGCAACCGGCCGGCACGAGAGTTGAGAAAAATTTCGTGCAAACTCTCACTTGCCAGAGCTCTCATCAACCCTCTATCTTGTTTTTCCAGAGCTTTACGAGGAGGTTGGAGTACCATCAGATACACACAAGACTTCTGGATACAAGACCTATGAAGAACCCAAGATGTCGCAGGAAAATCCTGGTTATACTGAACTTGATAAGAACAGACTCCAAGGCAGAAATGTAGCGGATGATAGCACCTATCAGAAACTACAAAGGCAAGATTTAGATTATGTTATACCAGCCCATGAGAGAAGAGAGTCGTACGAAGACATCAAAATTGGAAGAAACTTACCAGGCTACGAGGAGTTGGATCAAAGCAAACGCGAAGCTGACGATTATACCCCGCTTACCAAAAGTGGACAAAAACCTGAACTGGCCTAAGGTCGCGCACGTCAATACATCTTTCCAGAAAGTAGTTACTTTGGCTATGGAGCTTTGTTTTCGTGTATCTTGACATTAGTTAGCCCACGTCTCAATCACAGACCTGCTTCACAGACCTTAATTGTAATGAGAAAAGATTATCATTTGTAATGAAAAGAGATTATACAAAACTATATTTTGCAGGAAACAAAATCACTTATGTTCATGAATTGAAATAGCCAGGCGTATAGGATTGACTCAGGGCCTCTTTTAATACCATAGACCTGCCGGGGGGGGGGGGATTGTCCTCCCCAGCCCATATTTTGTCCCCTCCAGTGAACTATGTTGTTTCCCCCCCCCCTCCCCCACTCAATGTCCCTTCTGTCTAAAATATAAGCAAGAAATGGAAGAATAACTTAGTTAAGAAGAATATTCTAGTATTCCCATGACCAAATCTTTGTCCAGCGGATAAAATATGTAAAAATTTGTGTCTAAAAATGCCAAAAATCAAGCCGCGGACACTTAAAAATACAAAATTTTTCTGGGCCAGACAAGTTCCCACTTTTCCCGTTCACCACCTCGCGAAGGCATCGACATTGGGGGGGTGTCGTCTTGTTTTGATCAACTTTTCCTATAGCATTTTGACTAACTCCTAAAAACATTTTTCACCCCCCCCCCCGGTAGCGACATCCCTGCCACCTCTTAGTTGTCCCCTTTCTCTTGATGGCCCCTCCACTGACAAATTCTTAAAAGAGGCCCTGTTGAGTGTCTCTTGGCAGGAAGTTTCAAAATCTACTTCGACACTAAATTGAATGCCGCCTATTGACCACTTCGTGGATAGTCTGTAGTAAAAGAAGGGCGAAATTTTAATAATTTTATTGTAAGCTAATTGAGTGCGATCGAAGTAGCTTGTAATTAATGTAAAATATTTTAGAGAATATGTGAATACATTTTCGTACTGAACTTTGTACATTTTCATAACTTTTCTTCTGAACATTATACAAATTAGGAAAGTTTTGCAATTGTTGAGCAAGACGTCTGTGCACTGTGGTGACCATGATATACATATAGGCATTATCGTGTTGTGACCTTTTCAAAACCTGCATGAAACTTGATCAAAACATGCCTAAATTTGCATGACTATATGGGAATTTAAAGATTGGCATGGAGTGTGTATTAATGGCCCTGTGCCCATAAGGCGGAAAGAAGAACAAAGATATTGCGATGAAAAAATGCAAAGAAGCTGAGTTTTTAATCAAAACAAAAATCCCGGAAGCTAGCTTGTTTGTGTTGGAAGTAGAAATAAACTGTTTCAAAATACGCTGATGAATTTTGTTTCGGAAAAGCAAAAGAAAGAAGTGAGACTCTCGTAAAGTCTAAACTTAAGGTAAGATAAAACGGAATTGAGAATGTTGTTGGGAGGGATTTGTACATGCAGAACAAGTAGGGGAATATGATTTGACCAAATCCGGCTACGTGCAGTCTGTAGGAGTACATTTGCTTGTCAATACAGGTCACGTCCAAGACTTTTGTGCTTATAAGTCATCGGAATTTTTATGCCTTTCGACAACTTTTAACCAGGATTTACTCTGTTAATTATCATTTGTGTGGATCGGTTGTACACCGATGGCTTAATTAGTCGGAATATTTTAACTGATCGAGTAAACTGAATTTTTTACTGATATCTCGTTCTTTTCATTCATTTCGAAAAGTTCAGTTTCATTGTTCATTTAATGCAACCAATCGCTGTGTTCTTTCGGCGAATAAGAACATATTTCAGAAAAGTTATTTATATGAAATGAGTTGGTGAACGACAAAGACATTGACAGTTTTAAGCAATTATCAAACTTTCTGTGGTCAAAGTGCTTGACGTGTGACAGTGTAGTATAAACCTCCGGAAATGTCAAACTTTATGGTCATGTTAGTGTGATCACAAAAACACTCGTAGGGTAAGGTAAAAGCTATAAGTAAGAGTTGTGCTGTGATTTATGAAGGACGCAGCTCACACCAACATCATGCATGCAAAATGTTGAAATATTTCGTTTAACTGCTTACTTTTGGAAAAAAATAATGATTTATCCAAATTGAAAATCTTTGCGATAGAAACAGTATAAAACATTATTTGAAAATTATTGGATAATGGTGGGCCAACAATGCTGGGTCCGTTTGAAGTCGACCTTAAACCAGCCTTTAGACTTTGTTAGACAGGAAAGCCCACGCTGTTTGCATTTCAACAAAATTATTGATTTAGTCATGATGGTTGTTTATTTTGTTTTTCCTGTCGGTGAAATTCTGAAAGTAAACTAATTGTGTTTTCTTCGCTGCTTCTTGATTGCTTAATCTAAAATTTTGCCAAACACGCTAACAAGATAGTGGTATAAAATGAAGTGTATTTAAAGAGCTTGAAGTATATTTGGTAAGTGTTTCAAGTTGAGAATTGTGGTATTGAACTCTTTACGGTACTGGTTTAACGATATTGAATAAATTGCGACAGAGATATCAAATTTACGAATCACGAAGGTTTGTTTACGCACTGTGATTTATCACTCTTAAATAAAATTAAAGTATTGAGAACCGAAGTATATTCACAGTTCGTAATATTGTTAAAGACAGATGGCACCATATTCGTGAACTAACTTTAAATTAATTCTGAATCGTCTTAGACTGATATCTGATGGTCACTGATTCATCAATATGTTAAAGTATTTTTGATCTGTGAAATAAACAAAAACCCATACTTTCTTATTTACTAGGTCGTCTTTGGCAAAAGGAGATATGAAAGTCTTTTCCTTTCTGTTCATTGGCATATCGCTAATCTCCCAACGAAGTTACGGCGAAGAAAGTACGTATGTAGATGTTCATATAGCTACATTTACGATTAAATTAATTCTGCTTCAGTATTTCCTTTTGAGATATTATTTATTCTGCCAAGGAATTAATTTTATTAGCCTAATTTAATTTTCAGTTCACTAAGTACCTGTAAGTAATAATTGTAGCATTTTAAAAATCCAATCAATCAATCAATCAATCACCCAATCATTCAATCAATAGATACTTGATAAGAATTTAATGCAAAAATTAATATAAACACTATCATAATAATTTTTCAAACAAGAATTGGTCAAAGAAGGTGATGCAAAATCGTGGTACAACCATGATGTCGATACATCCAATGGAAATGGTTATGAACCGGTAAGATTATATTGATGAATAATTACAGTTGAGGGTCGTTAGAGTTGAAATATGGTTTATATAGTAATCGGAACCCACATGGAAAGTTCAGGGGCCACGGAACCGTCATTTTTCTGGGCTAAAGTGCCCCATTTAAAGAACGAAAAAAGTATTTCTTGAATGAACGGCCTCCTTTGCTGAAAAAAGTGCCCTTTTTGCAGTAGTAAAGACTCTGTAAAGGCCATTTCCGATGTTATAGAGACCCAATATTTTCAAAAATTTCCGTTCGTCCCGTGAACGAAACAAAAATCGTTTGATTTTGGTCATATACAATAGTACCCCTTCTGGCCAATGCCCCTCCACTTTCGAAACGCTTCCGCGATCTCTGGGAATGTTGTTACCTTGTGTTTTGGTTCTCGAAAAGTGTTAAGTGCTCGATATGTCATAAGGATAAAGCAAATAGTACCCTAAAACCGATGGCAAAGGTACCGGTGACTTCGAGGTAAAATAAAACTATATACCATAAATTTACAAATGTCTTTTAGTGGTTTAACAATTATATTGAAAGTATTGACGAAGAGAATGGTGTGTGGATTTTGACCGGAGATGTAGAATGCGATCAAAGATATGCAATATCTTGCGTTACTATCAACTATCATGTGGATATTAAAGCAAAAAGAACCAAGTGCCACAACACCACGTGTTCTCTTCAGATTTTCATTTACAATGGAACCGAAGAATTGGATATTCCACGTAATCCTTCGGACAGTGAATCTGGTAGAAAAAAACAACAAATGTATCTTTTCAATAATTTTATGAACCTTCATGATGTAAAATTTACTGTAAACAATAAAATCGAGACACAATCCTTCAACTTCTCTCACAATTGCTGCGTTGACGTATCTTACAATTGTTCCAAACTAAGATTCGCGATTAGGGCAAGAGCAATAAAGGTTAAATTACAGAACATGAAAGTTTACTTCTACTATTGCAATGAAACTGTAAGGAATGGTGTGAGATTGGCTCGAACATATGCTCCTTCTAGTGGATTGAAACGTGTAGCTGTGAATTGTACAAGTAATACGGTGTCAAAGTACAATGAAAGAAGTTTTGATGGATTTTGTTCGTACAATGGAACATGGAATATTGGGAATGACACGGATTGTTATTGTAGGCCTGGTTATGGAACGCCAGGAGGATGTAAACGTAAGTAGTCCTACATTTCCTCACAGGACATCTTTTCAGGGCCGAAGCTAGACCAATAATTAGGGGGGTGATATTCATATATTCGTGTTCTGCCCGACGAATTTCTTTTGAAACCGATTGTTTTTACAGTTGGTGAACATGAATATGTGAATATATACCCCCACCCCCAATTATCGCGTCTAGCTACGGCCCTGCATCTTTTAAAATGGACTCGACTCGTATATTATTAAAACAATATTGTCAACGAAAACGCAATGCGTGTGATGGGCATAGGAATTCGATCCATTTAACACTTAGAGAAGTGGAATCATCTCGCAGCGAGCAAGGCGTTGGAAAAGGCTGCAGTGTTCTTGACGAGTGTGTGCCTCAAGGTTTTTAAAACAAACAGCTAATTTTATTATTATATTTTGCATTTTATTATTATTTACAGCTTGCCAAGAACGACACTATAAGGCAAAAATATCAAATGAGAGATGTACGTTATGTCCGGCTCGAAGTACCAGTAACAGCACTGCGTGCAATTGCCTTGAAGGGAAATACAGACTAAAAAATGAAACAGGAGTGAGCAGTGCTCAATGTTACGGTAAAATAATTCATTAATCGATTAATAATTATTCAATAGGTTGAACGACAGGCAGTGAGACATTTCTTAATACATTAATTTGCGAGTCTTGCAATATATAAACCAATGAATTCGTTAATCAGTGAATTAAAGGTAACTTAATTCAAACGTCAGATAATCAACTATCAGTTGATGAATATTCAATTTTATGTATGTCCCTTTAAAGTCAAATAAAAATAGTACAGTCGGGCATTGAATAGGTTATGTTAAAAATGGGATCCCAGCATTTGAAGCAATGACCAGAGAATATGTTAAAGTACTTTGTTCAAAACAACAGAATTCCATGCTGACAACATGCATTCAGATATTAAGGAATATAATGTATCACTGACCAGACTATCAGTTATCAAAATCTAACCGTAACATTTCTTCGCTTTGCAGGTTTTCCTTCAAAAGTTCGTAATATCAAGGTTAGAAAGAGCGATTCCCGTGGAACGATTACTTTAAGTTGGAAGTCTCCTTTGGAACAAGGTGGATTGCCAAGATCCTTAAAATATGATGTAGGCTGTGGTGATGCGTGCGAATTAAAATTTACACCAAGCAAAGTCAACCTAAGAAATACTACAGTAAAAATCTCTGGCTTAACTCCTGGCCGCGAATACAACTTCAAAGTGTTTTCAAAAAACATAATAAGTGAACAATACAGTAACGGGCATTTTGCATTTGAGAATGAAACATTTAAACTTCCACGTGGTAAGTATGGAACACACATTGTTGTAATGTGTTTTTTTTATTCTCGGTAGTTTTTAAGGCTTGTTTCAAAGAGTGGATAATCAAATTGTCAATCAAATTTGTTTCATAGAGCCATTGAACAGAACGAATGAATTTATGATCAAGCTAGAGTTTAGAATTATGGCAGGAATTGGGGCACTTTTGATCCTAATCCTTTTCATCGCATTGGTCTGCACTTTGAGGTATACTCGAATGATATTTTTTGTATTAAGACTTCATTATAGTGACAGAAATAATAATAATTAGCAACAATTGATGATAACCGTACTTTCTCTATTTAGCACCCTGTGGGCGTATTTTCTCCAGTAGTTCTGAACTGGGGACTCATTATATAGAGAGAGCAGAATAAATAGACGCTGGTGTTAAATAAATTTTTACGTTCTTTAAACTTAAGAAATTCAGACGCTTTGTACTTAATTAAAGGATTGTACTGGATTGTTACACATCCTGTCATCGAGGAACAGACGATGGTTAACATTTTGCAGAATGAACTCCGAAAAAAAAAGAATTTAACCACCTTGGACATTTCGACAAAATCGAGACATATTACTTCACATTAGCTTATTGCTTTCGATTAAATAAACGCAATTCTTATATAAATGTTTAATAGGTTTCGCATTTCGCTGTAAGTCTTTATTTAGATCGGTTTTAGTTAGTACAAGACGGGGACTGAAGCTTTTTGTTCAGTGTTTCTGACCATTATAGAGAAACGTCCTACAGTACATTCATTAAGGCGCAGTATGGAAATGGCCTTGAACTTATCACAGGCAAACTAAAATTTTCTATAATCTTGAACATCCCCAAAACCAATTCCGGTCAGACATCTTCACTTATAAACTTTTATACATATTTCACCTTCATTTTATTATTATTCTTGTATTTAGACGGAAGCACCACAGGCATAGTAAATGTGGTTTCGACCCAGACAACGAAAGTAAGATCCAGAAGTATTTTCTCTATTTTGATTCCATTGATCATACCAACAAATCGATTACCGAAAGGAAGATTTGCTTTTCGTGAGGAAGGAAAACCAGAGGACCCGGAGAAAAACCCTCGAAGCTCAGGGAAGTAAATCCCTACCCCGCCTCGACATACAGTTTGTTCAATCACTCAATAAAATCGTTGTGACAGAAGGCATTTACCATTAAAATGGAATATATAAACAGTTTAGACCAATCCAATAACTTTTCTTATATTTAGTCACATTACCAAATATTGGTCAGAAAATGTACATTGATCCATTGAACTATGTTGACGCAGAGACTGCCTTGATGGAATTTGCGAACGAAATCGATCCAAGTTCACTTTCTCTGGAGCGTCTGATTGGTGGAGGTTAGAATCGTTATTTTGTTTTACTCATCAGATATATTTCACTTCACAAATTTATTGATATCTTTCTGGTAACATATTTTGACTCATAATAAATGCCGTATTCTTTTGAATCCTGTAGGGGAATTTGGCGATGTTTATAAAGGGAAGTTAACCTTACAAGATGGGAGAACGATTTTAATTGCAGCGAAGACTTTGAAGGTATTTCAACGTATTCAGCACTTGGCACAGTGACAAGTACAAATAGAAATTGAATAAAGTACATTACAAGAGAATGTAGTTATCTATCAGCAGGGCAGAGGAGGCGCCTCTGGATAGATTTACATTCTTCTTCAGAGTTGAGAATCGTCTATACTGGGGAACGAAACAGTACTGATTCTTCTCATATCTCGTCTCGCTTTTGTTAGTCCAATGCTAGCGAAAAAAGTTGTCAAGATTTCTTTCTGGAAGCATCCGCCATGGGACAATTCGATGATCCGAATGTTATCCATCTTGAGGGAGTGATAACTAAAGGTACAGGTTATTAATAGTCATGTTACACAAGATAATTTTCGCTGTATCTTGCAACGCAATTTTGGAATGGTACAGATTCCTGTTATCTAAAATGCAGTCAGAGAAATTGTGAGCATGGCCCGAATTCTACTCTGTGGACGCTTTCTGTACATAACATATTCTTACGGGATAAAAAACTGAAAGAAATTTTAGAAGAGTAAATCGTGGACCAGGCTCACAATTTCCCTGCAACTACATTTAGAAAACATCGCTCTATGTCAGAAATTGCATTGCAAGTTGCAGCACATTTGCGTCGTGTAATACGGCCTTAAGATTTTGATTATTTTGCCAATCGACCATGTAATACCCTGGATCAGGGGGGTTTCCTCCGCCATGGTTTAAAACTTGCATGACACCAGAAAACCGTTGCACCCAGGATAACCATGTGAACCAGTTGATGTTGAAAATTGGTAGACTTTCCAACTTGCGTTTTCCAGCTACATTGTTATGATCAAAGTTGTTCCTTGGAAGCGTGCTATTGTCCATAAAATATCCTCAACTTATGATCTTTTCTTTTCTAGTTGCTCCTAAAATGATTGTCACCGAGTTCATGTCAAATGGATCTCTAGACCACTTTTTAAAGGTAAGAATTGAGCTTGACTGAAGTCAGTGCTGTTCATTGAAGAATATTACTGATTACGGAGAACGGTGTTTAATGTAAGTATATATTTGTTAATGGTTTTAGAAAAACGACGGTGGGTTTACAGCTATCCAGTTGTTTAGCATGGCTCGTGGAGTGGCGTCTGGAATGAAATATTTGGCTTCAATAAATTTTGTCCATCGAGTAAGTACAGCCAACAAAGAAAGACGAAAATACAAAAAATGCCAGATTTTTGTGTGGGAAAATCTGAGGAGGACATCTTAACTCTCTTTCTGCACGATTCCCTAGACCTTCTCTTCTTCTTTTACCCAGCTTTTGTCCTTGCAGAACATAATCATTTCTAACGACGGTTCCTTGATAGAAATTTCACTTCCACACAGTCCAACTAAGTCTATCTCTTCTTCCCAGGACCTTGCAGCGCGGAATATATTGGTGGAGGAGAACATGGTGTGTAAAGTTGCAGACTTTGGCCTATCACGAGAACTAGAGACCGCTGATTCCTCCCGAGGAGAATATTTCACTCAAGTGAGTACAAAACATTTGCAACTAGAGGTCATTCGGAGACTGCATCCTTTTGCCAGCGAATTAAGTTATGTATCATGCAAAAAAATATATACAATGGGCTAATGGACCATTCCCCAATTAACCAAAATTTTGAACTCAACAAGTCTAGACAAAAATTTCATCACAGCTTGAAAGAGCATCACAAAATTAGTAATATTCCAAAGTTTCGTTGCGAAATGTTGTAAAATACGGATAATATAGCCTTGCGAAGTTTGCAATTTTCAGTCATTTTAGATTACAAACGGGAAATGGTTACCACTTCTGTGATTTCGGAAAAGTGGTAACCATTTCCCGTTAAGTAATCTAAAATGACTGAAAATTGCAAATTTTGAAAGGCTATATTATCCGCATTTTACAACATTTCCCAACGAAACTTTGGAATATTACTAATTTTGTGATGCGTTTTCAAGCTGTGATGAAATTTTTGTTTAGGCTAGTTAAGATCAAAATTTCGGAAAAGTGGTAACCATTTCCCGTTTGTAATCTAAAATGACTGAAAATTGCAAATTTTGAAAGGCTATATTATCCGCATTTTACAACATTTCCCAACGAAACTTTGGAATATTACTAATTTTGTGATGCGTTTTCAAGCTGTGATGGAATTTTGTCTAGACTTGTTGAGATCAAAATTTTGGTTAATTGGGGAATGGATTATGCATTGTTATGCAAATTATGCATTCAAATTATGCATTCAGTTTTCTCTGCCCGGCAAAGCAAGGCAAAGTTTTGCTGATGTTTCATCCAAATTTAACCAAAATTCAATCCATTTGTCCTTGGGCAATGTCCATTAGTCCACTAATTTTTATTTTAATATGTTTGATATTTGAAGTTCTTTAATAATTAACTAATAGAGCAACCGAAACTGTTGTTCTTCATTTAGGGAGGTAAAATTCCAGTGCGTTGGACAGCACCAGAATCGATCAAATATCGCACATTTTCAACTTCGAGTGATGTCTGGAGTTTTGGCATCTTATTGTGGGAAATAATGTCTTCTGCACAGAGACCTTACTGGGACTGGGATAATTTTAAAGTAAGTTGTCTTCTTTAACTCTTTTTCGTTTAAGGAAACCCCCAGTTCCGGCTGTATGATGGCAAGCTTGTTACTTCCAGATTACATGTTCAGAAAAAAACATTAGAAAGATGAATATAGAGAATTTATAAATAACAATTGTAAAAGCTGCATGTATGTTATGTTCAACTTGAGATTCAAACTTGGTATTCAATATTTTTTTGTTATATATGGTTAAATTATAATTAGTACAATTGTTATATTTTATTGTACATGCATACACTCTAAAGTTTCATATATGTCAATATTATACAACTGTTTTAAAGTGTTTCCAATTAGCTCTGTAGCTAAATACATTGACTCAATGACACTTAAATAAAGTTATTCATTCATTCATTCATTTGGTCGTTCATTCATTCGTTCGTTCGTTCAATTAAACAATAGCCCAAACGGTGACAGACAGAACAAGTTGTAATTTAGGCCCATTTTGATACCAATTAGAAAGTTTTGCCTCTTTTATTCAACAAGGGAATTACTTTTTAAGTTACAAAGACTTTTCCAGACTAACCTATTGGTAATCAACCAATATACACGTTGATAAGTAAGAATGAACTTTTTTTACAAAATTAGGTTATGGAGCGTGTGGATGACGGATTTCGTTTGCCTTCTCCTATGGTTTGTATTTTACTTTCTCTTTTTTGCGTGCTAGTCTATATATTACCGAGCTTAAGATCTACAACGCGAACTTACGACGTGGACGTCGCATTAAACAAGTTTTATTTTAAAACGATGGCAAATACCATTAAAATATTTTTATCACAGTAAATAAAATGAAATTATACTGGAAAAATGTACAACATAACAGAGGCTAGCAATATATTAAGAAGATATTTTTATCATAAGTTTTTACGACTTCTATGACGACGAATCTTTGCAAATATCACGTCGTCTCGGATGGTAGTTTTGGCGGGAAAATGTGCATTCGTAACAATAGTCCATAAAGCCTGGTTTCTATCATTTCGTATGGCTGTTAACGTGTCATAACAGTGTCACAAATCTCGCAAAAATAAACTCTGACAACTCTGACTAGGCTTACACTCGAAAACTAGGCTTAGCTAAGCACGTCCGCGTCGTAAGTTCGCGTTGTAGATCTTAAGCTCGCTATTGTCGGCAGGGACGCCGGAACTGGGGGGGGGGCAGGAGGGGCAGCCGCCCCCGTTGCCCTTTACCAGGAGGGGCAAGGGGGGCAAAGGTGCCCTTTCAATTTACAGGCTTGCCTTGGCGAAATAGCGAATTGACAGAAATGTTAGTGCAATCATTTTACGAATTTGTTTCAGAAAACGCAAGAAATGCAGTCCGATGAGCTTCAAGAATAGCACAATCGCCTGGCGGAGAACCCCCTCACACCCCTATCATCCAATAAATAGAAAACATGCTTAGGCGAAGTTCAACTCCCGATGTTTTGCAAACATCTCTTAGTATATATCAATTCAAAAGTGCCCTTTCGCGAAAATCTGCCCCCCCTTGCCTTCACATCGTTCCGGCGTCCCTGATTGTCGGCAGCAGAGGTCAACAGCTTATTATATGTAGTGGACTTGAGAATCAATATACTGGGATGTAATTTCATTTTCCTGCTCCTAAACGTGTCAACAGTTCTGACGTTGACCACCATCTGCTGCTACACAATGCAAAATTGAATCGATGTGTTCCCGCACATATGATCTTGCATCGTAAATACATGATTCTATGATTAGGACTTGTTACCATCTTCAAATGCCAAGGCATTGCCCAGAACCAGCGCTGCCAATTCTCCAACACTGAAGCCAGCTGTAACTATGCTCTGGTTTTCAAACCAACTAAAAGGAGAAATAGAAGTTTAGCAATATAAGTTTACCAATAAAATGAAGATACAAAAGTTCTGAAATAGGGTAGGGGTGGGGTTGGCAAGATTCCTAGCTCATTGTAGGTGGGTGACCAGGGGTGCTAGTCCCAGTCCAGAATGCAATGGACTGTTTGCCTGTTAAATGTATCAAAGATTGATGTCTGATACTCTGATAAGAAAATTGCATATTGTAATTGGACCTGGGTACCACTCACACCAGTGAAGGCGCATGCTCTGACCAATCCAGATGAGACACACCCTTGTGCTAATTTGACTATTTGTTATGTTATCTATGTCTGCCTATATCCATAATATACCCATTGCCCTGCATCTCCTTGTATTTTTCCAGTGCCGCAAGACTAGCCACAAACACAGCAGGCTGACAATACACAGTTCTATCAAGTTCTGTCTTTGGTCCATTGAGACACAACTCCAAAAGATCATAACCCAATATCTTGTTTGCTGTCTCAAACAATTGTTTCACTACAGGCATCTTTGCCAGGCTTGCAGCCATGCCGACAAACTGACTTCCTTGACCAGGGAACAAAATAACATCCCTCGGTTTTGGCCTGGAGCAGAATACTCGACAGTGTTGGTGGAAGCTTTTATGGATTATTATGATGGTGGATGCTATTGTAGTTCTGGCAAATGCGCTAGTACTTGTCAACATTTCAATACCACCATGTCTGTATTTACTGATTATAAGCACATCCGAGATCTTTGAGAATTAAATTCAAGTTCAGTCATTGAAAGTAATTTCAACTTATTGCTATTTAGTAAAGTACCTTCCCCCCCCCTGGCATGTTCTATTTGCTAAAAAAATAGAATGTTACTGTTTGTTCCAGGGGGGGACAACATATAGTTGAAAAGAGCCTGGGGGAAGGGAACAGAAACATCGACAATAGCATGACGTCATTTCATATGAGCTGGGGGGGGGGGGTGAATTTTAATTTTTCGAAAACGGGGGGTAAGTACCCTATTCTAAATTCATACTTGGCAAGTCATATAAATTGTTTTTATAACAAAATGGTAAACAATACTTGGAAATGACAATGTCTTGACAGTGTATGCTTTCAACCATATGTTTCAACGAAGAACAAAAGCTCTATTATTCAATATTATTCGTGAATATCAGGAATATGTATTCTCGAAACATCTATAATAAAGCATTAAATTTTTCGTGAGTTGTTTAAACCATATTTAAACTTTGCGTGAGTTTCGAGTCACGTCTCGTGATTTGTGAAGAGTGTTCTCCACTTCATGGCGGCTGGCTATGACGAAAATGTGCTTGACAATCCTTTCTTCAAGGCATTAAAAGGAAAATATAACAAAATATACGAAGATTCTTCTGCAAAGCGTTTGACTGTATGTGACGTGATGTATTTATATAGTAATAATATAGTCGTGTAAATTAAAAGTGCGTACTAAATATATTATATTTAGTTATATTTACATATTAAGATTCACAAGGGCTAGTATAGTATCCAATTATTTTGACCAAATCATTTGAGATGGCCCGAAACGACATTGACCAGTCTGTGACAGGTAGGAGAGAGGGGTCAAAGCAATATAACCTTTTAACTACAACATTTATATTTGAACTCAGCATGAAGTCACAATTAAATTATGCACCCACCATTTCCAAAATGCCAGACCTTACCTTTTGGAAAGTATGTCACCTTGGCCACAGATCCTCGTTTTCGTGTACGTTATTGTGTTAGCTTCTATAGCCAAGGAGACGTACTTTTCCGGAAGTGTGTATTGTACTTATCGCATGTACTTATCGCAGGATCATGTTTTGAGCATTAATGGCTACCAGGGCTCTTGTTAACATGCAAAGTTGCAACATTATTCCCTTATGCTGTCTAGTTTGTTAATGCATAGAGAATGGCAGCACTCAACCTTTGACGAGTAAAATTATTTGGTGTTAGACAGAGTAAAATAATAAACGGTGCATTGTCACTTAAATGGAGATGATTAAACCATTGAGTGGCGGCCCATTGAGTGGCAGCACTCTGCCCCAGATGACCCATTGAGACTCTTCCCCATTGATGACCCATTGACACTCTTCCCTTGATAACCCATTGAGTGGGTTCCCTTGATAACCCATTAAGTGGCAGCACTCTTTCCCTGAGTAAAGTCATCTGGCTAATACAGAGTAAAGTAATAAAATAGGTTGCATCAGGGTGCATTGCCACTTTAAGGGCTAATATTTTAAGGGTTAATACTGCAGATTAATACGGTTTGAGGGCAGTAGCGTAGCTAGCCTGACTATTTGGTCCCGCTATGCAAATATTTTCGTGTTCATTGACTGTGAAAACAATCAATTTCTAAAGAAATGAACAATGATAATAATTTTGAATTTGCATAGCGGGACTAAATTGTCGGGCTGGCTACGCCACTGTTTGAGGGTTAATACTGCGGATTCAGGTAGACCGTTTAATGCGAATAGTTGTCGTGTTAGTTTTAACAGTTGTACAATGACGTTTCTAGGCAGATTTTCAGACATTTCTAAGGCATGGCTTCAATGTTTATTTTCAAAATTTGTAATGTTTATTTCAAAATTTAACCATTGTAATTGAAGCCATGCCCTAGAAACATCTGAAAATCTGCCTAGAAACGTCATTGTACAACTGTTAAAACTAACATGACAACTATTTGCATTTAACAGTTTACCTGAATCTGCAGTAAATACAAGGAGAACTTCGGAATTTCAATTTATAATTTATAAAGTTTAATCTGGGTTATACCAATCAACAGACAATTTTCAGAAAGTTTGAAAGAATCACTATCTGGTGAATCACATGCTATCCAGCCTTTGTACAATTGGTCACAGCTAGGTGACTATTTAGGATAATTGATAGTTTAATTATTGTTAAAAAAATTAGATATTTAGTTAATAATATAAATATCTTGATAATTTTAGATATGTGTTCCGAGATATGGCTCCTTGGGCCGACCTGTACCGACGTTGCAGGATATCGAAAATCACATTCTTATTTCTGTACCTGGCACAGAGAAAACGTTTGAGACTCTCAATAAAAGGGTAATGATAAAATTATCCTGAGGCACATAAAATATAGTGTAACAGTCAGTAATGTACTATCAGTAAAATGTAGTGTTAGGTAAGGCTTTCCAGCTTATGTGTATATATGGTTCCTTGTTTGCCAGTGAAATGTGATTACCTAGATATATGATATATTTCTAGGAAGTAATTGTGGATGGACATTTGTTGAGGACTTCATCTGGCTTTCACGATGTTCGTCAGGTAAAGAAAGGTTATTCTGTATAATATATATATAATATACATAACATGACATACTTGTCTACATTATGTACACATTGTGTACCTATTTTTAAAGTACTTCCCACTCAATGTACGCATTATGTGCCTATTTTTAAACTATAATAGATAATTATATACAATTATATAACCTGTTTGTGTCACATGCAATCAATTTGCTTCTATTTACAGGTTGAAATTCTATTTGAAGAAACATTTTTCAATGCCAACAAAGAAAGCTTCAGTATTCTTTGTATTGAACGACCACTTGAAGGAGGAAACGGTAATGATGTACTATCATATTAAATAAATCAATATATTGAAGCTATAGTGTGGCACTACTATACATTTACAAAAACTTGTGGTTAATGCTCGGCAACCAACTGGACTCGGTAGCTCAGTGGTCAGGGCACTGCAACAGAATCACAGGGTTGCAGATTCCATCCCTGTTGGAGGGCCAAACATGTTTTAGCTACTACCAGTTAAATCTAAAATTATACTTGACAGATTTTCCACATTAAAATATTCTATCAACTAAAAACCCATCTACATTCAGATAATCCCCCCCCCCCCCTGCTCACAGTGGGCCAAGTGTGCACCCTCCCCCGACCTGCTAAATGGGCCTGGATCCAGCTCTAGCCTGGATGATCCATTATCTGTTCCTGATGACCCCTGTCTATATAGGCCCTTGTTTCTTGATGGGTCAACCAAATCAAGAACCAGGTTCTCATATTGGACTGCATTTCTGTTTAGGATTTAGTGCAAACGCTCTTGGACCTCTGGAATCTATTCATGATTGTATTGAATTTCTGTGGCCTCCTTACGGTAAGGGCAGGAGACAAAAACCTGTATTGATAGCAAACAAGAATAACAGGTTTTCCCCATGTTAAAAATTACACTGTTCTCTTAAGGTGTTCCATATACCTCGAAACATCAAGTGGATCGCTATTTGGAATCATTTCTCTCATCTTGGAGTGTGGAGTTCTCCCATCTGGGAACGCTAATGGCAAGTACTATTTTTCATTTGGTTTTGCCTACGATTTCTTTAGTGTACTTTTTATACAGTTTACTGTTTTATTTTTGTTTAGTTTTGTATATATGTTTAAAAACTCAATAATTAATGAGGAAAAGACAAAGGAAGTCACTTCTGTGTCCGTGGTTTTATATATATAATAAAGAAAATCGTGTTAATTTACTTCAAAAACTCATTAATAATTCATGAAGCAATTATTCAATCTTGAGTAAGAAATTAGTCACGTGCATACGTCTTTATACCAGCTAAAGAACACTTTAACAAAAGACCATTGTTATGCAAACTATATAAAGATTTTTATATAAAGATTTTTCATATTCAGATTTGACTTATTATGCAAACGTTTTTGAAGCCATTTAAAAAACTCGCAGGTCGTGTTTTATTAGGCTTAAGCCTAATGAAACACTCCTGCTCGTTTTTTAAATAGTACATAAACTTTAGCTATGATTTTCCCGGCTTAGATAACGTTGATTTTTAAAATTACTTCGCCAGTGAACTCACAACATGTCTGATAAACAGGGTTCGTAGCGGTCTTTGAAATCCTTGAAAGTCTTTAAATTTGAATGCAGGTCTTTAAGGTCTTTGAAAAGTCATTGAATTGTGTGAAAAAGCGAAGAAAGTCTTTAAAAGTCTTTAAATTCTTTAGTGAGTATTTGATTATACGATTTCCTATAGCTAATAAAATAAATTGATTGAAGCAAGATTTTCGCAAATATCGAAGAAAAGGCACATTTTAGGATGTGATTTGACAGGACTAATGGACCTTTCACCTTTTGACTAAAATTTAGATTTCAACAAGTCTAGACAAAAATTTTATCACAGCTTGAAAGAGCATCACAAAATTAGTAATATTCCGAAGTTTCGTTGCGAAATGTTGTAAAATGCGGATAATATAGCCTTGCGAAGTTTGCAATTTTCAGTCATTTTGTATTACAAACGGGAAATACATACCCTTTTTCCGAAGGAGGTATGTATTTCCCGCGCGTAATACAAAATGACTGAAAATGGCAAACTTCGCAAGGCTATATTATCCGCATTTTACAACATTTCGCAATGAAACTTTGGAATATTACTAATTTTGTGATGCTCTTTCAAGCTGTGATAAAATTTTTGTCTAGACTTGTTGAGATCTAAATTTTAGTCAAAAGGTGAAAGGTCCATTACCCGGATAAAAAATGTTGCTCACACTCGCAATTTTTCGACAGCTGATTGCTCTCAAAGGTCTTTGAAAAGTCTTTGAAAACAGGCAGAAAAAATCTTTGAAAGTCTTTGAATTTTTTTGGTCTTGGAGACTACGAACCCTGATAAAGCACCCCTGCTCGTGTTTTAAATAGTACTTAATCTTGCATTCTTTGTAGGGAAGTGTTATATCAGTCCTGAACAAGCTTTTTCCGATGTTAATGAAAGAATCGCACTTGGTAATGTGAGTTTCTTTTTTGTTTGAAGAAAGCAAGGCGCATATTGTTATACTACAATAGGTTTAATTGTATTTTTGCAGAAAAAGCCAGCAAAAAGTGGGAATTTTACAGAGACAACGAAGCTGGCGTTAGAGGTATAGAACTTTGAGATGGCATTACAGAGGTCATCCTAAGGCCTCTCATTTTCCAAAATGGATAGTTCTAAATATAAAATGGGTAGTTCTAAAACGTTTTTTCTTTCTAAAACGAGTTTTTGAGCTTTGTATGAAAATTAGTTCTAAATTAAGCCCCCAAACAGATATTTAAGGCAAAAACAAAAGCAAATGTTAATCTCAAAACGCAGGAAAGGGCCATTCTGAACTTTTAAAATTCAAAATGTTCTGGGAGTGCATGCCCCCGGACCGTCCTAGCTATTCAGGTATCCACCATCCAATGACGTCGTCTCCAGTTAGCCTGTGTTCACTACCTCACATTTCAATTCAACCTAGCAACCCCTATAATTAGGTTTCAACTGCAACGTCGAGTGCGTCATGAATGGTAGTACCACGCAATTTAAAAATGTGTTAGGAAAGATAAGAAAAGCAATCGGAACGTGATTAGAGCGCATATATTGAATGGAATGAAGGTTGTGTTCCGGGCATGGCTTCACTAGACTTATCAAAGTGAATTTTAATTTTCAGACGTACGTTCTTGATAAACTTCATCCCAAACTTTTCTCAGCAATCTGTTCACTTTCTTCTCAAAAGGTAAATAATAATTTTATGTGGGTGGAGGTTTTTTAATGAAATTCTCTGTATGGTAAGCCGTTTTCACTATACTCGTGTTAACGTTTTTAGGACGCTGCTTTTAACAAAGTTGTCCGTAATCTGTCTGATATTCAACTCAAAGATCTGGGAATTAAACCATCGTTGAGGTATTTCTCTGATAATCATACAATCTGGACAATCAGGGTGTAGGAACCGGGGGGAGCAGGGGGCACGTGCGCCCCCCCCCCAAAAAAAAAAATTGTTCAAAGTGCCCTTTTTGTACAAGATAATGTTGCTATAAGTACTATATTAAGATCGAAAGTGCCCTTTTTGTGAGGAAATTTCGATGTTTTTAAAAAAACATTTGGTCAAAAACGTTCATTGTACGTTGGAATTCGAAAGTACCCCTGGAAACCGGTGCCCCCCCCCCTCCCCCAATCTTTTGATGCTTCCTACGTCGCTGTGGACAATACCTACGATTTGTAGTGCAATTTTCTTCTTCTGGGCCCGTTGTGTGAAAGCCGATTACCTTAACCCTACAGATCAACTTAAAATTCAAAGCAAACTTCACAACATCTTGTTTATAAATTTGGAAATATTTCTTTGGAAATCTTGTCTGGATCAGTAGGACTTTTCTTCTCTGTATTTTTGAAATAAACTCACGTGCAGAATTACATAAACTGAAACAGCAGGTTACATTTTAACCTCGCAAGCCCCTAATGGATGTGAACATGCAAGTAGAGGAATTGACGATTCCCCCTGTTACGTTTTCGTAGCGTTTTGCATTGTGGTTATAGTGGTATTACTGATATTCCAGATGGCTTATTTTTTGTCCTGACCCGTGCAAGAACTTTTAAAAACGCTAGGGTCAGGTGCGCGATAGCCAACAGCAAAATATTCGCGAAACATTCAATATTTTCATTCGAGGCCGCTATCTTTATCAGCGATACCACTATAACCACAATGCAAAGCGCTACGAAAACGTAATAAGGGGAATCTCGAATTATGAATGTTCTGAGTACATGTACCTGAACTCGTCCACTCGTTTACATCCGTCAGGAGAAGAAAATCACACCTGGAAGTGCAGCAGTAATTGCAAGTGTAAACGGGCCTTTTGGCATTTATGATTTTTACAGACAAAATATTCCATCCGCAAGACGTACACTATCCAGCTTAAACAATGTAAGTTTGTTAACCAGGCTTCATTCGATTTTTTGTACTGTCATTTTGGAACCTTCGCTAAGATAGTTAATTAACGAAGTTAAGCGAACGACGTTTTTGTAAACACGGATGTCACCAGAAAATTGGTATAACTAATTTTGGCAACATTTTGCATCGTGGCGCTCGTGTAAGAAAAACAAAAACTTTAAAAACCTTGAAGACCATGTAAAGTCCGTTCTGCGCATACGTTCTGCGCAGGCCTACATTCCAATGGTCGGGACCCGACTATTGAAATGTTATTAATATTTCGCACTTTCCGAACTTTCTTGAATTGAATCTCTAGTCTGTATTCATTTACAAGCATACAGAACCAGAAGAGTGTTAAAAATTCACTATAATATATATCTAATCATATTTTACATTGTAGCACTGAGTTCAAAATGTAAACAAAGCGTTTGTTTAAGTTTTGTCATATGTGTTGAAGATTACCACAAACTGATACAAACACTGAAACACACACTGGAAAAAAATGTGAAATCCATACTATGAAATTTGTAATTGATGATTCCCCTTATTACGTTTTCGTAGCGCTTTGCATTGTGGTTATAGTGGTATCACTGATAAAGATAGCGGCCTCGAATGAAAATATTGAATGTTTTCGCGAATATTTTGCTGTTGGCTATCACGCACCTGACCCTAGCTTTTTTTGAAAGTTCTTGCACGGGTCAGGACAAAAAATAAGCCATCTTGAATGTCAGTGATACCAGTATAACCACAATGCACAGCGCTACGAAAACGTAATAAGGGGAATCGTCTATTGCACCACTAAATCCATAGTTTGTCCATACTATTTCGATACTATATCCATAGTATGGGAATATACAATTATTATGGATAATCAAAATCCCTTCTATTTCCAATATAAAAGGTCCATACAATTTCCATTCTATGACCTTCTATGGATTTTCAATTTTTTTTCCAGTGACAGTTTTTAATTTAATTTTTAAACCCCCCCTCGGCAATCTGACGTTCCGTGTTGACATAAACGTCGCTTTCTTGAGCTCGCCATTGTTTGACAGTTGGCACTTTCTTTAGTACACAACTCCATTGGAGAAATTCAACTGTCTAAAGAAAACTATTGTTGGCGTGACGATGTTGAAAGAAAGCAAAATCCAAGGTCAAGGTAAAGCCTCCGTTGAGGACATCCCCGGCAATGACGGAAATGTCCGACAGCGCCAGCAGCACCGCTGTCAGGAAATTTTGAACAAAGTATCTTCGCCGGAAATTGTCTCGCATCTTGCAGGACATTTTTGTCATCTCATACACTGGAATGCCTGCATATGATTCAGTCATTATTTGCAGAAGCGTTAATTTGCAAGTGGAGATTATTGAAGTCAGGGCTCGAAATAGCGGGCTGCCAATGGCCAAAAGCATGCAGGCCATGTTTTAGAAATGGCAGGCAAAAACAAATTTGAACTGCCAAGTCAAAAAAAAATGGCAGATGAAATTCTATAGATATATTTCATTTCCCTCTCCCATGTGTGACAAATGTATAGTACTGTATTGTGTTTTTATTTTATTGTAGATGTCCTGTTATAATTTAGTGCCATTTTTTCCCACTTCTAGGGAAAGTGCTAGCAGTAACGGCTGACGACCTTCTTCCAATATTAGAATGTCTCGTCATTAAATCAGATTTGCCAAATTGGTAAGATATAAAAAAACCTTGTATTTCTTAGCGCCACCTTTAATTGTTCTCATTTCATATTTGCTGTTCGTTGCTTTCAGGATGGCCAATCTGACGTTCTTGCATAATTTTCGATTTTCTAACAGAACATACGATGAATTCAGGTTCGATGTATTTTTCATTACACAGTCAACTATAGGCCGTGCTATATATTATGCTCTAACGACATATACACCGTGTTTTTCTTAAGGTTTTACATGTCTTCGTTTGAAGCAGCTGTTGAATACATCAGAAAGTCTTATCGCCACGATAGAAGATTGGATGTTTCTCTAAAGCCGGTACAACATACATTTCTTTGGCACTTCAGCAATCCCTGCAGGGCTCGAAATAGCGGGCTGCCAATGGCCAAAAGCAGGCCATATTTTAGAAATGGCGGGCAAAAACAAATTTGAACTGCTAGAGTAAAAAAAATGGCAGATGAAATTCTATAGATATATTTCATTTCAATTGCTTACCACAACTCATATATACTATATCATTTAGTTAACTAAATACGTTTGTATTTATATGAAATGTAAATCCAAGTTTACTGTAGTAAAATAGACAAGTTAAAAACAATAAAAATGCATATCATGAAAATATTGATTTTTACAATATTACTCATATGAGACATCGCCATTTTGGCAGTTCAATGGATAAAAATGGCAGGCCATATTTTTTCAATATTTTTAGGCCATATTTTTAGACTGGCAGGTCATATTTTTTCTTAACTTCGAGCCCTGAGCAAGGCAAACTGTTGACACACAAACGTCATGAGTCCACAGAAAAAATCAAACCCACGATCTCGGAAGTAAAAGGCGCATGATCTGTTTTCAAATGTAGGCAACCATTCCAGAAAAGCATCGGAATTTTTTCGTAACAATATATTTCCTAATTTTCCCAGGCCCTTAATATCATGACGCACGATGCATTTGTCAACGAACGACCTTGAACTCAACATCATCTCAACTTGTTTTCGTAGAAATTTCTGGAATCTTCCGACACTTCTTCAACTTTCCGAGAAATGTTAGCAAGAGGAAATTCAGTTGAAGAAAAATATGAGACACCAACTCATGGACCATCACCTTTGGAAGTATTTTTTCAGGTATGGTCTGATCACTTGAGACCCACCAACACTCAAGTTTGTTTAATGGTTGATTCCAGCTATAGACTAAATTTTGATCTAGGCAAGAAGAACAAAATCCATCACCACAGCTGGAAAGAGCTTGTTAAAATTAGTAAAATTGCAAAGTTTGGCCGCGAAATGTTGTATAATGCGGAAAATACATATGCTACAAGGTTGTTACGCGCACAACGTGTTGACAAATTGTTGAATTGCAGGACGATAACAAGTGTTGGAACAACTTGTAACAAGTTTGTTGAGCTCAACAACCTTGTTGCAAGTTATCAACAACTTGTCAACAAGCTGGGGACAAGCAGTGCGAATACATCCTGTTGACCAGTTGTTGGAACAGCATTGCTACAAGTCTGCTGTAGGTGTGTTACAACTTGTGCGTTTTTACGTGTGTACCTGAAAAATACGAAAAGAACTCCGACATAGTTGTATCATTTACAAAAACCACAGCTTGGTATCTTTGCTACCTATAGACCCATTCCACTGACGTCGCAGATCCTTAGAGTGTCCTCCAGATGCTCCCTAACAATATCTGTTCGGGTACAACAACCACATACAGCGCAAAAATTAACCATCTTAATACAAAATTATTATAAAGTTTTACAAAATTTGCTTTGTTTACAAAAATTATATTATGCATAGATTGCTAATTTGTCCTCCAGATGCGTCGTCACCGACGTTGTGACGTCATGTGCAATGGGTCTATATACTTCCACCGACCGTTCGAGATTTTGTATTTTTCAGCATGTGACCAACTGCCATGATTCAGAAGTGAGAAAAATTCTCAACAGCAGTTCAACGCGAGTCAAACTTTGCCATCCCTTGTGTTCTTGCGACCAATGTGAAAAAGTGTTGTACAGACACCGCAATGATCCTGAAGCTGTGACAGTATTTTCCAGAGATGATCTAGGAAGAACAGCTTTACACATTGCATCGGATTACGGTAATTATTTTTACTAAACTTATTTTAAGACGTGTCAATGACATTCGATTCTTGTCTACTTTGGCATCAGGATCCGAAGTTGATCCGAGGTACAAAACACTTTTTTCAGGTCTGCGGGTAGGTAGGTGGTTATTTCGAACCCTGTTTTGAAACACGAACTAATCGCCTTCTTTTGCTAATCTGGGGCAGGTTGTTTGAAAGCCAATTACCTTAACCCTAGGTTAACCTAAAATTCAAAGCAAACTTCCTGACAGCTTGTCCATAAATTTGGAAATATTTCTTCAGAGATCTTGTCTGGATCGATAGGAGTTTACTTCTCTGAAGTTTTGAAATAAACAGACGTGCAGAAATACACAAACCAAAACAGTGGGTTAAATTTTGGGACAAAGCCGCTTCCTTTATCACTGCGTTGATGATTGGAACAGTCTCCCAGAGTATGTCAGAACTTTATCTTTTAATAGTTTTAAGATCGCAATTAGCAATTCTTAAATGTTCTGACTTTTTATCTTGTAAATCTACTCTTATATATTTAGTTTATATATTGTTCATATTTTAGGGCCTCGCTGAAAATCACAATTTGCGAGTGGGCTCCCTGATGAAAGAACATTTTAATAATTAATAATAAGAAGAAATAATTTTAACCGAGGGTTAGCGCTAATCCACCTTTGAACAACCAGCCCCAGTTGTGGTTATTCATCCTAATGCATGTTTTGATTTTTAGGTCACACCAGCACAATTCATCAGTTAGTTCAAAAAGGTTCAGTCGTTAATGCAACGGACTACCATGGCAGCACTCCTCTTCATCTTGCCTGTCAACGTGGACATCAACAAGCCACCGTATGCTAAGCTCGATATTTATTTATCACACAATGCTCGCTTTACTACAACATGCATTACATGACCTAAGCTGTCCGTTCTAACGTTTCTTAATAACAAAGGGTGGGACTTATGTTGTGCACCCCCTGCACTCCCCCCACCCCCAGTAAATTCATCCCTACAGTAAGAGCCATCACTTTTTAGTCCGGCATAACTACATGAATAAACCGTATTACTCGGCAAAAACCAGCGATGTTTGATAGAGACAAACTAGTACTCTTTTCACTTACATCGTGATCAGAACATGAGCTTGTGGTGGAAGTAGCTTGCGAACAGGCGTTTATTCAGGTGGGCCTACGCCTGTTCGCAGGCTAGGTGGATCATCGCTGTTCAAAGCAAGATGATTCATATTTATTATTTTCTCTTCCAGATGCTCTTGCTTCACTATACAGCAGATATCTTGGCCCAGGATAATGATGGCAATGCGCCCATTCACTTGTGTTCTTCAAACGGACACGAGGAGGTCGGTTGGTAATTTCTTATTCGTGCCCATTCCCAAGGCGGTATATAATAAAGTAGGTCATATACTGGTGGGTTCCAGTAAGCGTTACGACACAGCAACGACGGTCAATCTCAGAACTGCAGACACTAAAGGCCCATTTCCACTCAAGAAAAATTTCCACGGACAGAAAATTTTCAGAAAATATCCTTGTTAAAAGTTGAAAATTTTCAACTTCAAAATTTTTTCCGGCGGAAAATTTGTGTCGGCCAAACACATTTTACAAAATTTTCTTTCTGCGGAAGATTTTCCTGAGTGGAAACGAGCCTTTTTTGCATCAAGAAAATAAAACTATATCCCCCTTAAAACGAGGACGAGAGTGAGTAGGTGGGTGTTGCAACTCTCGGTCGCGTCAGGTCGCGTTTGACAGCCTCTCGCATTGTTTTTTGCAATAGTTGACGGTTGTGCATCAGATGCACAACCGTCAAGTACTGCATCGCCAAGTTTGAATACACTTTCTACAACAGATGGCTCTGTACTCTCATCAACTTTGAGCTGGTTAAAATTTTGATCAGAATTGATAACAGTTTCTGCTCGTTTGACCGGTAATATCCAGTCTGCTCTCACGCAACTCTTGTTCTCGTTTGATTGGGGCATAAGTCTCTTTTATTTTCATTTGCCTCCAAATACACGACTGCATATAATCTTCTCACTCCGAGAACTTGTTTCTCTAGTGTGCCAAGGCTCTCGTCTATTTTGATTTACATAACGAAGATCTCGACTTGAATGCCGGCAATAAACATGGCGATACCCCCCTGCATCTTGCTGCAAGATGGGGATTTGGTAAGTAGTGTTGGTATAGTATAACAATTTTCAAGGGGGGTCATTCATGTAATGGTAATCAAAGAGCAGATTAATCCTTATCTGACGGGTATGGGGAGGGGTATCGGTGACATAGTGGTCAGTGCATGTGCCTTATGTGACCTGAGGGGGCAATTTTGCTTTACACTTTATGCACAATATAGCTCCATTTATAACCTAGTGATGCGTTATGGTTGATTATACAATTTGTTATACAATTTTTCACCTATCATTCAATGCTGTCCCCCCGTCCGCCTTCCCCTCTGCTATTAAATTGGTAACAGGGAGGTGCACTCAATTTTAAAACTGTACTCGGTAAGGCTGTTCAAATCACAGTCTTCTTGTTACAGAAAATATCGTGAAGCTACTGTTAGACAACGGAGCATTGGGTGATAAAAGAAATAAAAGAAATGAAAGTCCCATGGATTGTGCTTATAATATTCAGGTATAACCGAGACCTTCTGTTTTAGTTTCCGTTAATTCTTTATTTTTTCAAATCGAAATTTCTTTTCAAATTGACATTTATTTTGGGGCTTACTTGTCAACGAACTGCCTTTGCTTGAAGTATTGAAGTGATTTAAATCTCTCCGATATCGTAGTTCAGACACAACCACAACATTAGGAAGAATACTAGCTACAGAAATGTAATTTTTCATGTGTGAAGTTTTACTTGTAGATCAAAAGATTACTCGGCATGGATGAAAACGCGCAATATGTTATTATTCAGGATTCCATCGTACCTAGTGTAAGAAACTAAAAAATGTCTTTTTATGTATCGCAACGACTGCAATATCGCACGGTCCCTCTGTCCTGTCTTCGACTTATTTTATTATTGTATTTTATTGAGATTTGAGGTTTCTCCCACCCCTTGTCTTTACATGACCTTCACTGGAGGGACAACATAGTGTACTGGAGGGGCCATAACGGGGGTGGGGGAGGCAACTCCCCCCCCCCCAGTCTATGGTATTAAAAGAGGCTCTGATTGACACAATTAGAGGAATCAAGATCACTTCCAAATTGTTGGCAGAAAGTTGCTTCAAGCTTCCCATCCCTTGTCTTTATTTTACCTTCACTGAGAGAGTGGGGCAACATAGTTCACTGGAGGGGCCAAAACAGGGGCAGGGGTATTAAAAGAGGCCCTGATTGAGAAAATTAGAGGACCCTGGGCCGGTTATATGAAGACCGGCCATCCACTGGACAGTACGTTTTTGAGGCTTTCTAGAATTATCTGTTGATTGGTATAACCCTGCTTAAACTTTAGTACTCCACATTCAATGTTAATTTGTTTTTGTTTCAGAGAGTTCGCCCTTTGTCCTCATCTGATGTTGATAAATCCAAAAGAATTGACCCAAATCAGAGTCAGGTATTATCTCATCTCTGTCGTATTATGTTGGTGAACTTGAGAACGCTATTTATTTCCTTATTATTTTTTGTGTGTGTTTTGATGTTATGTACTCAGGTGAATATAATGTATTAAAAGTTTGTTGTTCGCGAGTATCTGTACCTGAGCAATAATTTATACCATTCTGCGTTTTATTCTGCCTTGCAGATTGAAGGGTTTCTGAAAACAGTTATTGAAGGAGATATAAGGATGGTAAGGAACTCGGAGATTTCTCGGACCGTGAGCAAAAACTACGTAATTTAAAAAACAACAGGAATCTCGTTTCGATGGTTACGGCGATGTATTTGAGAGAGCTCCTCCACATGTACAGGGGGTTTTGAACCTGAATGTAGCTATTGGAGTTCTGTAAATTGACAGGAAGTCGTATCTTAAAATAGGAACCAACTTGAGGGGCGTTATGAAGGACCTAGGTCAACCTGATCGAATCCATGGCTTTCCAAAGGCACTTCTAGCAGCCACTTTATTGCTCATGTCTTATCACGGAACACAGCTACGGTGGAGGAATCAGTTAGGAGCTAATCCCAACCCACCCTGTCAACATTCCCTTGGGGGGGGACCCACGCCTTTCGGACTCTTTTTACTGCATAAGTGTCATGAGTCCGCAACGAGAGTTAGCCTTTCTCGCGGCCGATTTTCCCGCCATTTTGGGGGTACTTGCTCTCCCACGTTTGAGAGTCTCCGCACCAGGAAATACAACTTTTTAGTATTATAGTTGTTTGTATAATGGTAAATTTACAGTTACAACTTTTAAAAGTCGCTTTTCACGTTGTTTGAATTGTCTGGAATCTTTCACGAGGGCAAACAGAACCCCCAAAATGGCAGATTTTGGCCTTCGTGAGAAAGACTAATTGAATGATTCCCTCCCGATACATCTAATTCCAGGTTTACCACAAGCTTGGTCTTGAAGATGAATGGGATGCTGATGATGATGATGAAACTTCAGTTTCTCCCAAAGAATTCGCCCCCAGTCTCTGTCATCCTCTTTGTCAATGTGACAAATGTCGTAAATATCAACAGGTAAAAATTGTTTTTCAGAAGTGCCTTGTGTGGATCGAGTTAATTTGGATATTTTAAATCAAGTTTTAAATCTTGCATTGTTTCTCCAGGATATCACGCCATCGCCTTACCGTAAAGTTGACATCAACAGTCGAGGTCTAGATGGGAAAACAGCCCTACATCTTGCTTCTCTCTATGGTTTTGAACAAATTGCGAATGTCTTACTTAAGCATGGTGCAATTACCAACATTTCAGACTACAATAGAAAATGTACACCACTCCACTTGGCTTGCCAATATAACCATCCTAAGGTATAGCACATTTTGACACTGTGACAGTTAAATAACCATAATGATAAATGGTGGTATTTCCACTGCTACAGTTTATATATTAACCATCCTAAGGTATGGTACTATTGCCACTGTTACAGTTTATGTGACCATCCGCCCTCTGGAGGTATGATATTATTGCCACTGTCACTGTTTATATAACCATCTTGAGGTATGGTATTATAGTACTATACCCACTATTACAGTTTATATGACCATAGATTCTAAGGTATGGTACCATTACCACTAGTCAGGTCAATACGTGGCTGTCACAATTAAGGTCATTCTACTTCGTAGATTGTATCACTGTTACTCCAACATCATGCTGACATTGATTGTCAAGATTTGAGAGGGAATGCCCCACTACATTATTGCTGTCAAAATGGAAATATGCAACCTGCTATTATCTTAATCAAGGTATGAATTTTGACATTTTACTTTTGCTTTTGCTTTTGCTTTTACTTTTGCTTTTGCTTTTGCTTTTGCTTTTGCTTTTGCTTTTGCTTTTGCTTTTACTTTTACTTTTGCTTTTGCTTTTGCTTTTACTTTTACTTTTGCTTTTACTTTTGCTTTTGCCTTTGCTTTTACTTTTGCTTTTACTTTTGCTTTTACTTTTGCTTTTACTTTTACTTTTACTTTTACTTTTGCTTTTACTTTTACTTTTACTTTTGCTTTTACTTTTGCTTTTACTTTTGCTTTTACTTTTGCTTTTGCTTTTACTTTTACTTTTGCTTTTACTTTTGCTTTTGCTTTTGCTTTTACTTTTGCTTTTGCTTTTACTTTTACTTTTGCTTTTGCTTTTGCTTTTACTTTTACTTTTGCTTTTGCTTTTGCTTTTGCTTTTGCTTTTACTTTTGCTTTTGCTTTTGCTTTTGCTTTTGCTTTTGCTTTTGCTTTTGCTTTTACTTTTACTTTTGCTTTTACTTTTGCTTTTACTTTTGCTTTTGCTTTTGCTTTTGCTTTTACTTTTGCTTTTGCTTTTGCTTTTACTTTTACTTTTGCTTTTACTTTTACTTTTGCTTTTACTTTTACTTTTGCTTTTGCTTTTACTTTTGCTTTTACTTTTACTTTTGCTTTTGCTTTTGCTTTTACTTTTGCTTTTGCTTTTGCTTTTACTTTTGCTTTTGCTTTTACTTTTACTTTTACTTTTACTTTTACTTTTACTTTTGCTTTTACTTTTGCTTTTGCTTTTACTTTTGCTTTTGCTTTTGCTTTTGCTTTTGCTTTTGCTTTTACTTTTGCTTTTGCTTTTGCTTTTGCTTTTGCTTTTGCTTTTGCTTTTGCTTTTGCTTTTACTTTTGAGTTTACTTTTGCTTTTGCCCCCCCCCCAACTTACGCTCCCCACTTTTATTTCGAAAAAATCATGTAGTATCCATCAACGTGTGAAATCCCACGTTTTCTCTTCAGAACGGTGCGACGTTAAGTCTTGTGAACGAACGTGGAAACACTCCGCTTCACGACGCTGCGAGATGGAGTTGTATTGATCTTGTTCACTTGTTGTTGGAAAATGACGCGCCTCTTAATGTGAGGAATGTGCAGGGTTTGATCCCGCTGCACATGGCTAAGGTATTTGAAACATGTGTTCTTATTCTTTGGCAGCATTGTGATTAAGGAACGTGCCTTCTCTGTGTGTGACCAGAGTTTGATGCTGCACCATACAGTTCTTAGATTTATAATTTTACTTTCGCATCTCATATTCATTTGGTTCATCATCATATTTGGTATCTCATAGACTCGGAATGATGGAACTCACTTCCTGACAGGGCTCGAATTTTATCGCGGCAATTGCCGTAGAGGGAGAACGAAATGCCGTGGATCATTGCGGCAACGACGGCAATTTTTTGCCGTATGAAGTTTCGTTGCGAAATGTTGTAAAATGCGGATAATATAGCTCTCCAAAGTTTGCTGTTTTTCTAAAGCGGTATCAATTTCCCGTGCGTAATACAAAATGACTGAAAAACGGCAAACTTCGCAGAGCTATATTATCCGCATTTTACAACATTTCGCAACGAAACTTCGGAATATTACTAATTTTGTGATGCCCTTTCAAGCTGTTGTGAAATGTTTGTCTAGACTTGTCTAGATCAAAATTTTGTTCATTAGGGAATAGGTCCATTGAGCATCTAGTTTCCACCTGCAGTAACACTGGAGCAATAAGGGATGACCAGGGTAACACTGGAGCAATTAGGGATAACTCGTATCATGCAAGCTTACAAGGAACTAATGTGAAGGTAACTTTTCGTCCATAGCATGACGAGATCGTCAAAGTATTAAATGAAGGAACAATGATGGAGAGTCATTCCAGCCATGAACATTGTAAGTGCACCATATTATTTAACTACTCAATGTTTTATTCTAAAAAAGGCAAGTGCTTTTGATTACCAGAAGGGATAGCCCTTACCAGACGTTTAGGGAGAACAGTTGAGAACTGATAGTAGTTAGTTTAGTTTAAGTTTCTTTTTGTAGTACACTGAAACAATAAAAGGTGGATCACTAGGGAGAACAGTTTAGAAGTTAGAAATTAGAACTGATAGATAGAAAGTTAGTTTCGTTTAGGTAGGAGAACAGCTTAGAATAGATAGAGCTATTCAGTAGCAATCAAGTTAGTTTAGCTTAGGTTTCCTTCTGTAGCAACACTGGACCATTTGGTGTTGACCTTCAAACTCTTCTTGCATGGGAACTGATAGAGCTATCCAGTATAAATAAAGTTAAGGTTTCGTTTTAACTTATTGTTTCCATATTCTACCATCAGTCGAGCCTAAAACTGCCGAAACAAAATGGTTCGAAACAAACTACGTAAGCGCAAAGCAAAATACTCCCGCAGAAAACAACATCATTGCAACATCACCCACGAAGAACACAGAATCCAATACATACTCGGACCATGTTCGGAACCTTCCGAATTCCGAAGAACTCCGATCAAGTCTTACTCGCGACTCGCCAGAAGAAACTCAACCGTCATTTTTCGATCGCTCCTCTTCGGAGTTATTTTTAGCTTCGAGTATGACGTCATCAACATCTCAGCCCATCTCAGGTGTGCCGTTTCCAAGGAAACTGCCCGAGATCACAAATCGGACAGATGACGTCATTGACCATCGCTCTGTGGCTATAGATAGACTGAAACATGTCTTGGAGGGAATCAAGTATTTTGACAGGTATGAAAAACCTTGCAAAAAGCTCTGATTTTGCCATGTACATACTTTGGGGGAATTTACTTTTTTTGCTCCCAGTGATCCCTAAATGTTCCTTCAACTTAAAAGCTCGAGAAACACCAGATGTAAAATCACCATTTTATTGCCAAAGAGTTGCCTGGGGAGGAGAGTAGTAAGAACGTATATTTACTGGATTTCTGCAATTTATATTCGTCTGATTATATTTTCGTCCCATTTTCATATGCGAAAAGTTCTTCCAGTTTGATTTTACCAAACACCTTTGTTTTCTCGGAGTACTCCGGTTTCCTTCTGGATTAACAAGGGATTACCTTTACTCGAGCTCTTTTGAGAACTGTTTAGAACCGGTAGAACCGTCTAGCCTACTAAATAAAGTTCGTAGAATAATGTAATATTTAGTAATTAACAGTAATGAATAATTATAGTAGTTATTTTCGTTCGTTGATTTTACTTTCAGGGAAGCTGGTTTAAGAAGAACTGAAACAATTGACAGAAGTAGACCATTAGTCAGTCCGTTGTTGAAATTACAGGTGAGCTTTTTCTTTTCCCAATTTGAGAAGAATTATTTAGACGGCTGGTTAAGCCCTAGTCAAACGATGATGAGAGTTGAGAAGCGAGAGTTTGCATGAGAGTTTTCTCAACTCTCGTGCGCCGGTCAAATAAGAACGAATATTACTATTCCAGGTTAAGAGAACGAGCCTAGTAATTCTTCAATTTTTTTATCAGAATTGTAGTAAATGCGTATACCTATATTTTTTATTTTGCAGTTTTCTATCGAACATTTCGATCAGTCGCGACTACGAAAAGTCTCTGATCATGTTGGCACTGATGTTGAAGAAAGGGCCGCTTTGGATCCAGTAGGAATAAACATGGAAGGGAGGGAAAATGTGTCAAATGTCCAGGGAGGTGTCGGCTGAATAACAGTGCTCGACCACGTGCACTGCCTCAAAAGTCCTTAAAAGACCTATAAATCAGCTAACATGTGTGCGCGCGTTGCTCCCCTGGCCAATTCAATGGCGAAAACTATTCTGCATGATGATAGTGATGTAGTGACGTCACTCCGAAGATTTGTCGGAAAAGTTTTGGGTTACGGATAGGGTTATAAAGGCTCGTTGCGATGCCACTACATCAACTAATTGCACGCAGAATAGGCCACTGTGTGACGTCACACGAAAAGGCAAATAACGTGAAATTACGGGGAGAATAAAAAATTACGTAAAGTGTAAAACTTTTACATAATAGTCATAATAATATCACTGAAAATATGCGATCGTAAGTATGCCCGTTCGCAGGTTACGTGATCGACCAATACTCAAAATGGCATATTTTATATAATGTGTGGTAATTGCTACGAATCCTTCGTCACGCTTCGCTATTAAACCGTCCACAAAACGTCTAGATGACTAGACTCTCAACTACACACGTAAAAATCTCACAACTTGTCAACAAGATGTGTTCGCAGCATGCTCGCAGCAAGCTTGTCAACAATTTGCAACAATGCTGCTATTTCATCATGTTGCTACAAGGTTGTCACTCACAACTAGCTTGTTGACAAATTGTTGAAATGCAGGACGATAACAAGTTGTTGGAACAACTTGTAACAAGTCTGTTGAGCTCAACAACCTTGTAGCCACTTGTCAACAAGCCGTTGACAACTTGTCAACAAGCTGGGAACAAGCAGTACGAACACATCCTGTAGACAAGTTGTTGGAACAGCATTGCTACAATTAAGTCTTCTGCAGGTTTGTTACAACTTGTACGTTTTTACGTGTGTACCCCCAGGAAAAATCGCTAGGAAAAATCAAGAGAATATGGGCGAATGGGTCACAAAATATGTTCAATTCAGGTCATTTCAAAGATTTGGACAAACTTTCACGTCCCCTCTGTAGAAAAGTGCCCCCCCCCCCCCTTTAAGATTTGACTGGAGTGAGATTTGAACGTTCGGTCCAACACTCTACCCAGTGGTGTAGTACTGTAGAACTGACGATAACAAGGAGGTAGGGTGACAAGACGGGGGCGGAGGGTAACGAGACGTGATTTATTTTTTTATTTTTGGTCGGGGCCACATCAGAGGGGCCCCATTTTAAAGGATGTATTATGCTAGAATCATAGTAATCAAGTACAGATTACTATATAATCAGATTAGTTTTTCAAACGTTTTCCGAAAATTTTTTTTGCGAGTATCAGCAACGCTCGTAGGGGGGATAATGAGGGATACACGAGGATTCAAGCTGGGCGGCGGCGAGCGGGAAGAACCGCCAGTGGAACCGCCCAGCTCGAATCCTTGTGTATCCCTCATTATCCTCTACGAGCGTGGATGAACCTCTGGCAGGTCACCATACTTACCCGTGTGGATGGTTAGATGCAGACGTGGTCAGCTAATGATCTCCGGATTTGAGTTACTTTGATTCAGGTCCGAATCACGTGGACCTGTCCCATTCTCGTTCCCTGAGCCTGCGATCCTCGGGAAGGAACGCGAGACTCTGGGATAATCCGTTCCCGGAAGCCAGGAATTCTGGCTAAGATTGAACTACGCATTCCATTTCAACGGCCAATCAGATTCCTCCCTGAAACCGATTATCCCAGAGCCTCGCGTTCCTTCCCGAGGATAGCAGGCTCGGGGAACGAGATTGGGACCTGTCCATTCAGGACCTGACCACCGAACGTCTGCACCTTATCACATCGAACTTAGTTCGATGGAAATTAAATTGAAAATCAATTGTAGTCATGATAAAAAAAATTGCTTCTTCTCTGAGCAGATAACCATTGCAGTTGGCTACGAATTAGCTAATGACCTGAGAGTCAGTGTGACCAGGTTTTTTCAGGGCAAATTACCACATCTGGTTTCAAAAATTACTATTTTCGGTCTGAAATTACCACGGTGCTATATTTTCCCAATTTTACCGTATTTTTTTCAAAAAATTCCCCAAAAATGTTGGCAAATGTTTTTCCGGACCAAAATTTTTCCGGACAACTTCCTCGTAAATTAGGGTCAAAAAAATTTTTCCGGAAAAATAATAAGTAAAACAACGCCAAAACCGGTTTTCAAAACCAGTTTTTTTTCAACAAAATCTGTAAAATTTAGGGTTTTTCACCAAAATCTGTACATTTAAGGTCAGGAAATTTCAAATTACCACAATCGGCCAAAATTGACGAAAAATTACCACGGTAGTTCTGAAATTACCGTAGTAATTGCCACAAATTTCCAATTACCACAATTGTCCAAAAATGACGAAAAATTACCACGGTAGTAATGAAATTACCACGTCTGGTCACACTGCAAGTGAGAGTCTGCTTGGCACTCTCTGTATCCGATATCCTGAGGGCACATGCATTGAACTATAAATAAACTGGAAGGCTAACTGCTATGATGAAGGCCTATGATTTGATGAAGCCAAAATAGTTTTTCTGAGTTATGAGCAGAAATACTTGACCCCAAACGTCGGGCTATATATCAAATTGAAGCTATTGAAAATTGCTATTCAAGACTTCAGCGAAACGAAAAATATTTAAAAAATACAAAAACAACTGCAAAACGGCAAATTATCGGTAATTA